CCACTCACCCCCGGTTTCTTTCATCTCTTATGCTCTTAAGCCCTGCCTGTCAAAGAGCTCTACCTGGACTTCAAGAGTCGGTGAAATAATGGCCCAATACCCGTCAAAATTGTTCAGGGTAGGGTTTCGGGATGATCCAAAACCCTGCAAAATTATCAAGGCCGACCTCCATTTTACATACTGTTGGGGTACAAGTAATAACTTACTGACAAGAATCATAGCACCAGCAGCAATGCCCACAGACACCCTGCAGCCAAAGGCAGCAAGCGCCCCAACACCTAATTTAAAGAAATTCCATACTACACCCGACGCGCTACCCCTAAATCCTAAGCCCTAAAACCCACAAAGCAACGCTTGCATAAGCCCTAAACAAGCATTTAGGAGTGGTATAGGATCCTGAATAGGGTCTCCAGTTCTTTGGCCCCTTGGAGGGTCTAGGTTAGGCGGACTGCCCGCCCAGTAATACTGACTATAGGGGATAATGGTGAATATGTTCGGGTCCTCTTCGATTCATTTCATATCACTATTACGGGTGGGGGTCAACTAAGGTTTTGGGTTTAGGGTTAGACATCTTTGTAGTATGCTGCTTGGAGTCCTTAAGCCACAGTGGGCACGTAGCCAAGACAAACTGTTGTGGATTTGCGCAGAGTCTTGGGGTTATTGTTGCAGGCGCAGGCATTGGAACGTAGGGCTTTCGGATTCGTGGTTTAGGAATAAGACATAATGGGATTGGAGACGAGCATTAGCGGTCAGGGTATAGGACTCTAAACCTCCAAAAACCTCAATCCTAAAATCTTTAATACTCCACAAACCTGAACGCTACTTGGCTTTAGGAGTTAGGCTCAAAGTCCTTAAGCCCTAAACCCCTACGCCCCTAAACTCCCTAAACCCTAAGCCTTAAACTCTTAAACCCTAAGCCCTAAACCCCTAAACTCTAAACCCCTAAAAACCCCTAAGCCCCTAAACTCAAAACCCAGAATTCCAACGCCCCCGCCTTTGCCAGAACCTTTGAGACACCTCCGTCCGTCCGACAGAGCGGACTTCGAGGAGCTCTAAGCAACACTGGGATTCCGGCTTTCCGTGTGGGGTTTAGGGTTCAGGGTTCAGGGTTCAGGGTTTAGGGTTTAGGGTTCAGGGTTTAGGGTTTAGGGTTTAGGTTAGCGACACTGGGGTTTTGGCTTAGGGTTCCTAACCTTCAGAAATTTTCCGGCAACAGGTTTTGCATGACTGGGCAGTAGCTTGCCCCTTCAGCCATGGACTCTCTGGCAAAATGGCCTACAAGCCCACATTACTGTCCAGAGCCTCACAGCAATAAAGACCTATACACCCTAAACCCTAAACCCTAAACCCCAAACCCCGCAAACCCCCCCAACCCACTATACATCCGGATCTTAATGCAGCCGCCAGATTGCAGAGCACGCAAAGTGCAACCCTCCAAGGTTTAGGGTTTAGGGTTTAGGGAACCCTATGTTCTTTGAAAACCATCCGAGAGTACTTAACATGTTTTGAGATATCATCCTAAACCTAAACCCCAACCCTAAGCACCTTGTGCACCCTAGAACTAGGCAAAATCAGTTAAATCACGGCTTTAAGTCACTAAAAAGATTCAAATATACAACTACTTAGAAGTAGCGGAGAATTGGTAAACCATTTTTCGTCCCTAAACCTCAAACCCTAAACCCATAAGCCTAAACCCTGAACCCTAAGCCTGAAATACAGATCCCGGAAGAGGAGCATGAGTCGGTGGGCAGTTTCCACACTCAAGCGCGCATTGCCCGGAGCTGAGTTCTAACAAGCATGCAGTTTAGGGATTAGGGCTTACGGTATAGGATTTAGGGGTTAGGGTTTAAGCCTTGTATGGGCTCAGGGCTTATAAGGGTTTAGGGTATGAATGATGCTGAGCTCAACGCCTCATAATTCCGAGAAATGAGGGGCCCGGTTTGGGACTCCCTAAAGGCAGGGGTTACAATATATTGGGTTCTAACTCCCACCTGGACCCTGCTTCGAGGTATTTGGAGGGTCCTGGCATTGAATACGGTGGTGGCTTTATGGTTCATTGCCAGTTGTTCAGGCTTCAGTTTAGCATTTGGGATTCAAGGGTCTTCCGGTACATTGCTGAGGGTTTTGGGGGCAGGTAGGCGCTGTGTTTCTCAGCTGTCTGTCCTTTTACGGGTTCTTTCCCTTAAGATCTAGACCAAACCCTCAACCCTTAACCCCACCAACGGGTTTTCTTGTGGGACGTGTTTTATTTGAGGATTTTTTGTTTTTGTTTTGGTATTTTTTTGTTTCTAGCCTCTTGGCTTCTTTGCTTTCTGGCTCTGGTCCCTTCGTCCTGTGGTCCTCTGGTCCCGCGGTCCTCTGGTCCTGCGGTCCTCTGGTGCCGTAGTTGTGCTCCTCTGGTCCCGTGGTCCTCTGGTCCCGTAGTCCTCTGGTTTCGTGGTCCTCTGGTCCTGTGGTTTTCTGCTCCTGCGGTCCTCTGGTCCCGTGGTCCTCTAATCCCGTGGTCCTTTGGTCCGGTGGTCTTGCGGAGAGCAAGTAAGAAAAGAACAAGGAAAAGATGGGAAAGAAGGGAAGAAGAGGGAAGAAGGGAAGGAAGGAAGGAAGGAAGGAAGGCAGGAAGGAAGGAAGGAAGGAAAGAATGAAGGACGTCTCGTCACTCTTATTCGCAGGCATTCTCGAAATGGCTAAGAATCGCTAAGAAGTATAAGACATAATAGAGCAATCGGGGTTTTGAGAATTGGGAAATATTATTCATAATCCTCAGGAATCTTGTGGTTGGAAGTGCGCATGAACATTTTTTAATTCAGGATAAAATTGGGATCAACAATTTTTTCGGGATCACAACAATCACCCAGCGAGCCTCGTAACTGTCTTGGCTTTTGAACCCTCGGCTCCCACAAAACCTTGAAAAGTGTTAGCATTCACAGGGATCGTGGAAATAGGAATCGAAAAACCCCGTAACTGTCGTCGCTTTTGACCCCCCGATTCTCTCTTGAATTTGAAAAGTGTAAACAATCATAGGGATCGTGAGGGTCGGGGTCGGGATCCTCGTAACTGTCGTCCTTTTTGGACCCTTCGATCCTCTTGGAGTTCAAAAAGTAGCA